GAATTTTGGGAAACTTTAACGGTGCTGCCAACTTTGGCAAAAGTCATCCCAATTTACTGTGTTGAGTTGGCATTGTACAGAAATGGACAGCAATAGTGGTCTACAAATGTTAATTTATTATTATTTTTATTAGTTTTATTTTTTCCATGTGTACAGGGGTAACACATCATACTAAATATGTAAGGTCATATCTACGTGGGTTTGATTACAGAAACTAATAAAATACTCTCTAAATAATGAAAAAAGAATAAGATAAGACTATAAGAGCAAGAAGCAATTTAAATATGTTCAGGGACCATTTTCATCTCCAGAATTAAGGATTATTTTAATGTTACATCATTGCCTTTCCTCTTTTACTTTCCTTTTTAGTTTTATTCCAGGATTCCCTATTTTTAATGTTCATACAGGGATTTCTTTAACTGAAATACCGAAGTTTCTTTGGTGTGAAAAGCTAGTACACAGGATCCTAATGAGACAATAATGTGAAATAGGAAGTAAAGGGCTAAAGGGGTAAGGAAAGCGGGAAGGGTGGGGGAAAGGTAATAAGGGAGAGGAAAAAAATATGAAAAACTGAAAAAATGGAAATAAAGTGTAAATGGGGAGGGGAGGAGGGGCTGAAGGTAGGGCAGGGACAAGGGGAAAAAATGAGAATCAAGACCTATTATGTAAAGGTACAGAATCCCAAAGATGAATGTAACTGTACTGTATACCTTTATACTCAATAAAGACAAAAAAAAAAAAAGGGCTGGGGATATAGCTCAGGGCTGAGGCCCTTGGTCTCAATCTCCAGGGTCGCAAAATGAATGAATGAATGAAGCAATTAACATTTGAATATCTACTGTGCATGGAGCTCTGTAAAAAGTGCTCATTTAGGAGTAAAAAGCTAGGAGTAAGACTTCCCAGGTCATTGACAAATTCCCACTGCCTGAATAGACAGTGGTAAATAAGGGAAAGTCTCGCAGGAGTAGAGGATCTGGAGGTCAGGTCCGGCTCTTGAGAAGTAAGGTAGGCTGTGAGGATGAGTAAAAAAGCTAGCAGCATTGAGCTTCCAGTGGCTGAGTTAGGAAGGGGCAGGTGTCAGAAGAGAAACAATCTTTCCCTGCCCCAGTCCAGCTTGTTCCCTCCTGTGGGGCCAGTCAGTAAGAAAACAAATTACAGCAGGATTAAACAAGTCAATCTTACATTGAATCTCCTAGGTGGTCATTTTCAAATGATTTTAAATTGTTGGGTGTGTACAGGTGAGACTGGAAGGAAGGTCACCTTGACATACAGCCAAAATTCAGAGGTTTGTAAAATAGTATATAGCTAGTCCCTTGCATCTTCAGATTCAGACAACCTTGGATAATATTTTTAAAAATTGCATCTGCACTGAACATGTACAGTTTTTTTCTTGTCATCCCCTTCACAATACTGTATAATAATTATTTACACATTAATTGCATTGCATAAGGTATTTAAGTAATCTAGGGACGATTTAAGGTGTGAAGTATGTGGCATAATACTATGCCACTTTATGTAAGGGACTTGAGCTTGGAGGAGGATTTTGCCTTGTGAGATGGTTGGAATCCTGTAATCAACATGCCCTGCAAGGCTTATTGTTTTCTAAAGAAAATTGAATCAAGTTATCTTTTTATGTTTCTAAAAGAAGTCAGCTGACTTGAAGCTGGGGAATTTGCAGCTATAAACACTTTGTCCTTTAGTCTCTTTGAGAAAAAAAAACTTGTTGGAGTGAGTTCTCCCCATGCTGGGGAGGAAGGTGGGGACCAGGAAAAAGAGCAGTTATCAGCTACAGGAGGACGGGAGATAGTCTGCAGAAAGTCTGCTGATCCTTCCAGAACTGCTGCCTCCTCCTTGAGTGAATGGCTGCACACTGAAATGGGCCACAATTTCATGGCTTCAGATGTCAGTTCTTGAAAAGGTAGTCTGGCTGTGAGCATGGGTGTATTTAAAAAACCAACTCCACAGAAAGACTGATAAAAGGAGCTTTGTATGTTTTGAAGTTGTCAGTTAAACTGGATTCTGAACAGGCGAAAATCAGTGCAGTGCAAATTTCCCAAAGCAGCAGAAAGTTTCCAACACCTTCCTTCCCTCACCATTGCAATGAGCTTGCTGAACGGTATTTTCCTTAAACAGCACAGCATCCCTTTTCCCCTATTGCAGCAAATATTTGAGACCAAGAAATACATTTAGCAAGGAGTTCAGGCTCAGATTATGATTACAAGTAGCCTCTACATTTTACATGTAGTCTCTAACACAATTTGATATTTATCTACTCAAATCACTTCCTCCATGACGAATTTTATGGAAAAAAAGTCATACACATTCCTACCCAGGGATTACTGAGACATTTTGTACTACACTAGCTCTGTTGTTGTAATTAGATAGCAGACTTGGTCCCCAATTGGGGCTGCAAATAGCAACTGCAACACAGGTTAGGACTCACAAAGTCAACTGGAAGCCATCCCTGTAATTTCAAATAAGAGCTGAGCCTCACTAATTTGAAACAAATGGAGGAAAGTGAAACTAGATGCTGAAAACTATTTTAGAACACATATTTTTTAAAGTAATTTTTTCATTTGCAGGTAGTGGGGCCTCAGTTCATGACTTCAGTTCTCTCCACGATTCTGGTCACAAACGAAACTGAGTGAGAACCGAGTCAGATTTCCCCATAAGATCAACATTGAACCTAACCATTGAATCTGCTTGAGTTCTCTTCCCACTCTACGACCACAATCGTGGAATTGAGTTTGTGACCCGAGGCAACACTCTTTCTATGCACACAAGTCAAAATGTGCCCATTGGAGCTTTCTGGTAGATGTTACAATTCTGTTTTGAGTATGATGGACTCAAAGGAACTGGAGCAAAGGGATTCAATCCATTACAATGGCTTATTCTAGCCATGAGACTGCAGCAGAGGGTGGTGGGAGCTTTTATCTTAACTCCAAAAAGGGTAATTCTAGGAGGAAAGGGGAACCCACCAGGGAGGGATCAAGTAATACAGTATGTTGAAGTGAATGAACAGAACAGCCTGGAAACTCACTGATACCAAGTAAGAAGTCATACAGGGTATGGCCAAGTCAAGTAGGAATTTCAGTCCTACTGGTTTAAATCAGGAAGCTGGAAGTGGAAAGAAATTCCTTGAAGAAAAAAGACATCAAAACAGAGTAATAGATTATTGATTAAACTAATGCCAGATACTCTGGGGTGTACTGTGTTGTTAAGCTGGAATGTCCCATAGGTTAGGTGTATTGAATGTGATTTTAACTTCAGCATTTTCAATTTACTGTGAATTTATTCCACTGTTAGTCCAGAAG